CTTTGCATCTCCCTCTTCCTACAGGGGCCTCATAGCTTTATGTAAAGAACTGCTGGGAAGATCACAGGCTATTCTCAGTGACAACAGCCACATGATGGTCCAGTTGCAAGCTCAGAAGCATCCACCTCTTCTAACTCTGAGGAGGCTTTTTACATGCACTGATGTACAAAATCTCTACACTTTAATTTGCTCATCTTAAGCTTCCAAAAGTGCCGATGTGAAGACAAAGCTGTATACTGGCTATGAAGCCATCCAGCTTAGCGTAGAGATGGGAGACCTCTCCTTGAGAACTTCATGAGAGGTGGGAGCACAAAGGAGAAAACAAGGACAGAGCAGCACAGGCTGCAGGCAGCAGGACACCAGGCACTGAAAGCACCTCCTAAGGACGGAAAAAAGGGCGTTTGCCATTAGCACTGGATTTGGCTCCTGGGGAGGCAGATGCCTGTAATTTGGACCAATTTGGTATATTTTTATTTCTTCTCATAAAGCTTGATGCTGCAAGTAGAGCTGTTTGCTGTTGGCTCTCCTGTGTGCAGCATCTGGGATGGAAGTTCAAGATGAATAAAAGTATGACATTTCACGTATATAGGAACTGTTGCTTTTGGAGGGTTTTAACCCTTTTGGGAGGAAACATGGGCTCCCTACCTGACCCTCCACAACTCCATGCAATGCCACACCGCCTCCCAGCTACAGGCCCCTCAGCGCCATCCCCAAATACCAAGGAGCAGGCTCCAAACCGCTGAGAGAGGTGCTGAGCCAACTCCCAGTGACCCGCAGTCCTCTGGACCACCCATGCCCAGGTCCAAAGCCCCGGGCTCAGCCCGCCTCAGGCATGGGCACTGGCTGGGCAGCGCTGCCAGCACGGCACCTTTGTGCTACTTGCCGTGGGAAGCAGATGGGTCTGCAGCCCTGGAAAGCTTTTCTGTTTGATTTCAAGTCGCTCTCTGAAAGGCACAAATTCCCCCTAGGACTTTCAGGGATCTTATTTCCCAGGAAAGTAATTTCTTCCCATTTTCCCCAAAGTGAGCATTGATAGGACTCAAAAAAACCCCTCTGAATCCCTAAGAAAGTATCATCCTAAATACAGATACACAAAGGCAGTTCGAAAACAACACACTGAAAACTAATTTAAGACAACCATGTTGTTCCAATACATAAAATCCTGTGAAACCTACTGGCTCATGATATTATAGAGTTCAAGATTGATTTTTAAAAAAAATTACGTCCAATAACATCTGCAGTATCCTCCTCTTTGCCCTATAATTAATCCAATCTTTTGTTTCAAATCATATGAAATACAATACAGAGTAAAAAGAAAAGAAGAAATATTTTGAAATTATTATCTTGGTGTTTAGTTCTAAAAAAATGCTCAGACGTTTGAGTGCTGAGTAAACTTTTCTCCTTTGCTCTGAAAATGACCCTCCAACCAACCAACGTGATTTTGCAAACAAATTCAACTCCAGCAGACACATACTTCCCAAAGAATACACTTCAGATGATGTTTCTCCAGTTAGTCCCGGCTCCAATGCCAAAGACTCATCTCCCTGCACAGCACATTAGTCAGACACTCTTGCTTTATTACAACCCTTCAAAACACCTAAGCAAAATCGAGGTAGAGAATGTGTTGAAGGGGATGAGACAGGGAAAGGGACAGGGTTTGTGCATAAACAGAAGGGAAAATAACAACTGCTATAACAGAAGGGGAAAACAATGACTGCTAGAACAAACACAAAACAAATACTGTTTTGCCCCTTTGGAAGATCCGTTCCTCCCAAACAAAAAAAACACTGGCAAGACTTTTCAGAAAAGGAGCAAAGGACAGAAACAGAGAAGAGCCCTTTTCTAGAGTTTGGAAGAAAACACTTTTCTTTGCAGTAGGAGACAGCTGGCTTTACCGCATCCCAGCCCAGCTCTGCTGCCTCTGTCCTCTGTGTCAGATAAGCTGCTGGCTCCGCTCTCCCCACAAATGGGAAGAATTTTAGACTGGGAAGCAAAGAGCAGATGCCTGATGAACTGGGGGGACCTTGCAGATGTTTGGCCTTTTCCTGGTCCTCTGCGAACAGATGGACTTTTCTCCTTCACAGCTTTAGTTATTTATTCCGCCACTGCACTTTCCTCTTTCCCACACACAGCCATAGGACCCGATGCTGTTCCCACTGCACTTGCGGGAGAGTATTCCCTCGGACGCAGGAGGGAAAGCTGTAACTGTATTATTATTACTATTATTATTATTGGCATTGCTGGAAGTCTCCCTCCGGCAGAGAGGGAAGCATGCAAAGACTGTAAAATCTGTGTCCTGAGCAGCGTATGGTTTTAGATGACGTGTGGAAGAAATAGGTCTACGTTTGAGAGAGTAAAGGAGGAAAAAAAGCCGAAAGCAAGCTTGCGCTGCCTTTAAGCAGGATCTCCCTACGATGCACCTAGGGGACCTTTCCTCACCCCCAAAGCTTTGCAAGCCAGACAGATTTCACTTGCTTAGAGCCAGGCAAGCCATGGGAGGAGGCAGGAAAGTCCACGTGCAGGCAGAGCATATCACTGCTACCCACTGCTGACCACCTCCAGTGCCAGCCGGCTACACGGGGAGCCGTCTGGGAGAGGGACGCATCCCCTGGTCCACATGGACACACCGGCGGCCGTGGGGGAAATGGGGCTCTGGGGTTACCAGAGTTAACCATGGGCTGGTGGAGGACATGTCCCACGCTGAGCACTCACCCTCTCCTGCCTAATTTAACCCCACTGCCCCTCCATGAATAAGGGATACGATGGGCAAAAGGCTTATTGGTATTGATTGCTGCTCAGCACCGAGACTGGCATTTTGGTTGGCATTCACCTGGCATCAGCCTGAGCACTTGGAGGTACTTAAGTTATGAGAGTGACCGAGCTCCATCAATGGAGAGACATCAAGGCACCTCCAGGAAGCAATTTCTACTTCAAGGAAGGTGAAATGGCCTTCCGACGGCAAGTTCCCCCACAGAGGCAGCCTGGGGCAGGCACGTTTGCAGGCAGGGAGCCGCATCCTGCCCCTCCTCGCACCGCGGCACAGCCTGCCTTCAGCTCTCGCAATGAGAAATCTCTACCCATTACCATACATTTAGAGGAGAAAATAAACACTCCTCATTGCACCAGCTACTCGTTTCTTCTTCTTACAGCTGTGAAGACCGTGAGTCAGCCTACGAAGGGGCTGCGTGGAGCGACACAGGCGCCAGCTCAGTTATTTCAGATACGACGGCGCAACGTGCCGTGAAACCGCAGCTCTGAGCTCTCCTCTCGGCACCCGTGCCCGCTCCTGCGCTGGAGCATCACCCTGCACAACCACGAGAGATTATACTATCAGCCCCAGTAATGCTCTTCCCCGTATTTTACAATCGAGTAATTAGACAGAAATTGCTATGGCAATGTTGGGAAACTATGGCAGAGCCATAAACAGAAGTGATGCCTTCCAAGCCCCAGCCCGGCTTCTGGCTCCAATCAAATCTGTGCCGTGCACATGCATTTGCAAGGTTTTACCTCCCTCCTCCCCAAAATTTCCCCTCTTACACTTTCCAAGGAGATTTAGATGTTTCATTATTACACTTTTTAAATGTACAGATAAAAAATTGTTCAAAGCCTTAACAGATGTCTACATCAGCACGAGCCTGTCAGGCTGAATAGAAACTCTTAAAATTTTTGCCATTGGCTGCCTGATGCCTTCTGGGTACAAGTACAAGCTGAGAAAAACATCCTGTCTCATGCACCAAGCACCTTTTTCACTTACAGTCTAACCTTTAAATTTTTAAGTGCACTTCAGTTTTTTGCAAGATCAGGCTCGTATGTCTCAAGCCTTTGTTTTCAGGGAGATATATCTGCCAGTCAACAAATGAGTTGCAGCACAGTAATTGCCTCCTCCCTTGACTGACACAGTTGTTTAGACATGAAGATTTGCAGCTTTAAAACTTCTAGACACGAAGAAGATCTCACATGTTCAGTAAGAAGAGACTGTTTGGGGGAAAAACCCTTGGAAACACAAAAAAGCAAAACATCATATTTTTTCCCTGAAACAATAACTTCATGAAATCTATCAACCAACAAAACAGGGTTCACACTGGTCTTCCCAGATCTCTGGCTGACATCTGAAGACTATATGCCCAGATGTTTTTCATTTTTCTCCTTCCAAACAAAAATAACCCTTTCTCATCGTCATCTTGATAATTTCTGACTCTGAAGCCGGTACAGAATCAGTTTGAATCACCTGAAAAACACAGCTCTCCCCTGACCCAGAGACCAGGATAGGACAGTGATGGAGCAAACCCCCACTGATGTGTTTCCACTCTGATCCAAACAGACTCCATTTGGGAAAGCACTGAGCAGATACAGGCATTTCCCATTGCCCTTTCAAGTACTTAACTTCTACTGCAGAAAGCCAAGGTTTGCAATTTGAGGGTGACCTACATCGAAACAATTAAGATTTACTCTTAAACTCTAATTCGTT